TGACCTTGAAACTATCCATTTATCTTGGCCTTTCCCCTCCGTGTGAGATGCCACAAAAAGTGCCAGTCTCTCTCTTTCTCTCTGAAGAAGAATGGATGGAGCCAGACAGCCATGCTCGCCTCACCTTTGTTTTCCTCCTGGGCCAGGCCCAGGGCTGGAATACCGATGGGAACCAGGAGGGAAAGGAAATCATTCTTGATCATCCAAACACCTTCCCGAATCCTCTGTGTAGGGGGGACAGCTCACCTGAGTGCTGCCTCAAAGCCTAATGTTTGTCGGCTCCTCCATAAATCTTCATAAATAGACAATGCAGATTCCCAGCAAACCTCCTGCCTGGCTCCAGAGGCTGGTGCCCACCACAGCGGACAGCTCCGCTCCTAGCTACCTCTGTCCTCCCTGCCTAGAGGAGGAGGAGGGCAGCCACCCTGAGGAATCTGAGCGTTGGAAATCAATATTCCTCTCAGTTGCCCACTATCTGCTTCGGTGGCTGCCCTCACCCTGGCACAGGGACATCAGCTTCCCGCTGGGCCCGGCTGAAGCCAAGAGCTGGCACAGCGAGACTCCCCTTTGTTTCTGGTGTGGCCACTTGGGTGTGAGATGTTTCCTCTTCTCTTCCCTGCGACACTCAATTGGATTTGAGTTAAACAACAAATCCGTGGACTGTGGCTGGGCCGAGGAGGCAGCTAACTTGTCTCAAGCCCGGAGCACAAGCAAACCAACAAGCTAGCGAGAGCGACATCAACAAAGAGAAATAAAACTACTGTGCATTTGAAAAATGCAAAGCTGGTTTTAGAGTCCGAAAACCCCTTTCCCCAAATACCTGCTTCTTTGATTTTGTGTGACTTCCATTTCTTTGATGACTTTTCTCCTTCTTCTTCTCCTGCCAAAGCTGTATCCCTCTCCTTTAGCTGGATCACGCCAGGGCCATGTATGCGCTGCCCGTAACACAGCATGCCAAGGCCCCTTCCTCACTAATCTCCTGTGTGCTCGTATCCAAGCTTTTGAGAGAGCTGTGTGAAGGTAGGGCATTTGGGGGAAACATCTGGAAGAAGAAAGAAGAGAACTAGAGGCTGATGCAATGGTCTCCCATTCAAATGACCAGTTCGAGGCTCACGCACTCTCTTTCTCTCAAGTTGGTTTTTTGTTTTTTCCCACGTCTGGCTTTAAGGGTGAAAACATATTATTTTCAGGTAAATCCACAGTTGCATTTAAAATTCCCAGGCTGCCTTGGATTCATGAAAAAGTAGTTTCATTCATGTGCTACTGTATTAATGTGTGAAATGGTTAAATTAATCCTTCCATAGGATGTCTGAATAGGTTATTATAAGGTGCTTAGAGATTTGGCAGGCTAAGCCCCATCTTTCTTTCAAGATGTTAAGAGAATAAATGTAAATGCAGGAAACACTGCATGTGAGGCATCTGCTGTCCAACTGTACAATCTGAATGTCAGCACACTATTTAGGAAAAGTTAACCACAAGAGCAAGGGCACAGGATACCCACTAGGTTGAGACTTCTGAGGAAACCCAGGAACTTGAGACTGGACCGCCTTCCTGTTACCCAACCCTCCTGTCTTGGTTAAGACTCTTGTCTTCTAGGGGCATCTAGGTGGCTCAGTCAGTTAAACGTCTGACTCTTGGTTTCAGCTCAAGTCATGATCTCATGGTTCATGAGTTCGAGCCCTGCATCAGGCTCTGAGCTGACCCTGTGGATTCTGCTTGGGATTCTCTCTCCCCATCTCTCTGTTTCTCCTTTGCTCTCAGGCACACACACTCTCTCTTTCTCTCTCAAAAATAAATAAATAAACTGAAAAAAAAAAAAGATTCTTGTCTTCCAACAAAAACCAACTTGACCTAATTTGAACCAAGAGGGAAAAGTATTAAAGAGTTGCGGGGGTGTCTCACAGAATCCAGAGGCAGTGGGATGTCTCAAGGAGCACAAAAATAGGAACTGGAGGGAAATTGGGAATCCAGGCTGTACTATTTATTGCTTGCTCTGTTTTTCTCTGTGTTCTCTGTTTACTCTGTTCTTCTGCTTTTCTCTGCAGGTCAGCTTCTTCTATTGCTGCACGCACGTGGGGGAAGGTAGCAAGCCCAGTTCCTGAGCTTTGAGATTCCCTCAATGCCATCCCACACAGAGGAAATGGCCACCTCCGAATCCGAATTTTACATCAGTAGTCCTGTGGTCAGCACACCTGAGCTCACTCTTGCCCTATTCACACAGTTTGCCTGTTTCTTTTGTTCTTTTCTCAAAGCATCCTGTTCTTGTGTCAAGGCCACACATTTTGTATCTCACTTAGGATACTAATTAGATGTTTGTATTGTGTATTTAGTTGATTTTCAGTTTTCCCTTGTATCCTCTTACTTATCTTCTTTTTCAAGGTCAGCTTATTGTGTTTCATTCTGCTTCGTCTTGTTTTTATGCTGCTCACTTTATTCTGAGGTCTGGTTAACTTCGCTTGTCTACTTGGAATTGCAGGTAGGAGAATGACTTGGTTTGTTTCTAGGTTGCTTGGTGGGTCTTCTCTGTGTTGAAAGCACATGTCTGTTTCTCTGCTCTTTCACAATCAGAATGACTGGGGCGTTTGTAGATGCAAGCAGACTGCTGCAATTGGCAGGCTTTACTTCAGAATAAGCAAAGGAGGAGTTGGTGAGGTGGGGTGCTGGGTTTGGGGCTAGGTTGTCTCCAGATGCAATGGAGAGGTCTTCATCCAGGAGCACAGCATCCTCCCAAGCAGACCTAATTCTTGGGTCCCAAAAGGCTGAGACCCCTTTTGTTTTGCCTGTGGGTAAAACACTGGACTGCCTTTCTAGGGGTGGTGGAGAAGAGAGGGGAGGGAATCGTGGAGAAGCAATTGGCATGGTCATTGAATAAGTAGAATTTTCTACCTACCAACTGAGTTTGGAGCATTCCCAGGCTTCAGCAGTAGCTGCCTGGGCTCTCTGGGCTGATGCTCCCTCACTCTGTTTCGTTCATCAAAACCCCTTTCGTCCAGCAAAACTCTTTGCTCCCAAACTCCCTTCACGCCCCTGACATTTGCTAAAATATCGTGTTTGCTGATGATGCTCCTGAAGACTTATTCTTGTACATTCTATTGGAGTCTCGGAAGGGAGTAGAAACAAATATTTCACTCATTCTGCCACCTTGAACAGGAATGACTAAATCTGAATTTCAAATTCCAATTTCAAAATCCAGTTGGTCCACCTAGATGATGGGCCCACCCCTGTTCCAATAAACTGGATGGGAAGATCTCATGATTGCTAAAAGCAACCATGGGGTGGGCTGGAATGTCTCCCCTAAGGCAGTCACTACACCATTAATTTTAAGAATTTAGATTTTTCTTGTTTTGTTTGTAGGCTGTTTATTCTCTGCCTTGTTCCAACAGATCCTGGTCTCCTGTAACTCCCTCGTTCTCACCTTAAGCAGGACTAGGTCTATTGGTGAGCTGATAAACGTTCAGCAACTGGATCTCTTGGTTTGTGACATTTTCTGGTTTCTGTGGTGGATATACTCCCACTCTGGCAGATTTCAAACCTTCTGGAATTACTGAACGTGGAATTGAGGAGAAATGAACAAAATTGACTCTGCCAAGTGTGTGCAACCCACCTCCAGCACACCTCTGACTGGGGTAGAGCCATTGTATAGTCCTAGCCAAAGCATGGCCAACCAGTAAAGTTGGTTGAATCCATTAAGATACTTCAGTTACAAGGAACAGAACCAAAACACTGTTTGATGAAGCAAAAAGAGAAGTTTATCAGAAAGAACCCAGAATAAATCATGGAGTCCAAGGAAGAGCTGAATGTCCAGAACTTGGGAAGAGCTGACGTTGCTTTGGTGACCTCAGAAGCAGCGACACTTTAGGACTCGACTCCTCTTCCCAGTTTCTGGCTCTAATTTAAGTTCCTTAGAGAGAACCTGATTGTCCTCGAGTTAGGTGTTTTCACCTGGGGAAATGTAGCCCTATCTGACTTCAGTGACATTTAGCAAAACAGGACTTGCTTACATAATGTGTAGGATTCAGTGTAGAATAAAAATGTAGACCCCTTTGTTAAAAAAAATTATTAATAGAGCATTAAACCAACTGTAGGGCCCTTTTAAACACAGGACCCAGTGTGACTGCTCAGGTTATATGCTCCTGAAGCTGGCTCTGGCTGGTGGGGTTGGGGGGGGGGTGGGTGGGCGGAGCTCACTTTTGTGGTCCAATTGTGAGATCTGTCTTAGGTTCTCTTCTGAATTGCTCACTTGCGGGTATTGCAAGGCAAGCCCATGGAGAGGCCATGTGGCAAGTCAACCACATGAGTGAGCTTGGAAGCAAAGAAACTACCTTCCCCCATCCCCACCCCCCCATCCCAGCAAGTCTTCAGATGATACCGCACACCTGAATGATACTTTCAACTTCATGAGAGACATTCAGGCAAAGGCACCTATCTAATCCATACTTGGATGACTAACATACACTAAGTATGAAATAATAGGTGTTTGTTGTTTTAAACCACAGGTGTTTGTTGTTTTTGAGGCTACTTTGTTACCCCACAAACAATAACTACTATAGTGTTATTTATTACTTTTGACCTATCGAAATGTATTATAATTTACACATGGGGGTGTTGAGTGAGTTTATTTATTATGTCATCTAGCCTTAACTAACTTCATCCTCACAGAAGCTGTCCAAGTGATTTTAAAACATTTCTGCAAAGAAACTAGAGATTGGAATTAAGGCTGATAATGCAAACAAACTCACCTCCAGAAAATGGCTCTTAAATACATTTGAAGGAAAAAAAATAACAATGACTAATCAGATCCGTCAAGATGATGACCAAAAAAAAAAAAATCAACATTTTTGAAATGTGGACTTACATCCCCTTGAAATTGTAGCTAATCATGGTAGTACATGTATAAAAATTATAAATAAGTAAATATTCATATGTTTGTGCATACTCAAATGTACTTAACTGATGGTTTGCATGATCCAAACAGATCGGTGATGGCTGTTTCTGTGCTTGAATAGGGTTAGGGGAGAACACCAGTACCCTGTTCTGAGGTCACTTGATTACAACACCATCATCGCAAGAGAGGACAATGGTTAGGTGGGCCAGGTGCAGCCTGGGACAGCAGTTTAGAGTGAGAAGCCATTTAAAATAATCAGGAAACTAACAAGCATTTCATGAAGATAGGGACTAGTCACAGCCACACTAAATCACAGTCACACATGATGGAGATGCATTATTCTTACTTGGATATTAAAGAGAAGAGTGATTCCAGAAGACTGGAAATCCACAGGAAAACTGTAATCATACATGCAATTTACAAAATAATTTTGGTTTGGATATATAATATTCATTCAGAAAAATATCTTAAAGACCTGTGTACAGTTTTACAAATAATAGTAACATGAACCTACTGTAACCACCACCTGGGTCGAGAATTAGAATGTGGCCAGCCATCTGGAAGCCTTCCAGGTATCTTCTCCAGTCATATCCCTGTCCCTCTACCCTGGAAGCCACTTTTGTTCTGACTTCTGTGATCATTCTTTTTGGGCTTTACTTGATAGTTTTACCACTTTGGCATGTCTCCATAAACAATATGGTTTGATTTTACCTGTCCTTATGACTGGAAATTTTACACAAATGGAAATCATTCCACATCGTATCCTTTTGCCTTTTACCTTTTGTTCAACACTGTTTGAGAGTCATTTGTGCTTCAAATAGCTACATCTATCTTTATTGATATACAGTCCTCATTTTATGAATATCCTACTTATTTATCCATTCTTTGTAAGAGAACATTTGGCTTATTTCCAGTTTTTAGTTATCATCAGGAATTCTGCCTTAAACATTCTGGTACATTTATCCAAGTGTACACATACATGAGTTTCTCTAGGACATATGTGATACGGAAGCACAGAGTTATAAGCTTATCTTTGCGTATCTTCAAATGGAGTGGATAACGACAATTCTTTTCCAAAGTAGTTGTACCAACTTACACCTCCCTTCCACTCCACAGTGTTTGGACTTCTCACTATTACACACCTTATCCAATCTTGGTATTGCCAAACTTTTGAATACTTGCCAGTCTCGTGGGTATGTAGAGTTATCTCTTTGTGGTTTTAATTTGCATTTCCCTCATTACCCATAAAATGCTTTTACACTTATGTATTGGCCATTTGGATTTCATCTTTGGTAATTTATTGGGTTTTGTCCATTTTTCTATTGAATTGAGTTTTTCTTATTGATATGGAGTAGGTTTTTAAAATAGATTTTCAATTTATTGACACATATATTACATATTCTGTAACATAACATATTTACATCTTCTTCCAATTTACAGTCTGACCTTTCATTATTTGTGTAGAATCCTTTGGTGAATACAAGTTCTTAATTTTAATGTAGCCAAACTCATGTATCTTTCCTTTCTGATCTTGTTTAAGAAGACATTGCATATATTTTTATGTGAAAGTATTCTATATTGTCATCTAAAAGCTTATAGTTTCACCTTTTACACTTAGATCTGTAGTCTACCTGGAATTCATCATTGAAAATGTCTTCCTCTCCTCATTCATCTGCCATGCGTCTTTTTCATATGTCAAATGTCCACACATGTGTTTATCATTTTTCTGTTCTCTCTATTCTGTTCCATTAGTCCATCTGTCCATTCTGTGCCAAGACTATGCTGCCTTTACTACAATTTAAAACAAATCTGGTGTCTGGTAGAGCAAGTCTTTCTACTTCATTGTTTTCTTCAGAAGAGTCAGAGATTCTTTGTGTTTACATCTAACTTTTAGAATCAACTTCTCAAATTTTACCAACACCTTGCTAGAATTTTGGCTAGGATTAAGATTACATGGAATCCATGAATCAGCTTGGGGAAAATTAGTATCCTTCCAAAATTGGGTCTTCTCATCCATGAATATGGTATATTTTTCAATTTGTTCAGGTTTTCTTTAATATCTCTCAATACAGTGTTAAAATTTTGTCTGTGCATATCTTCCATATGTTAAAAACATACTTATATTAATTGCTTCATATGTTTTACATAATTATTTACTGATTTATAGGAATACAATTGAGTTTTGTATATTGCTATTGTATCCAGCTACCTCGGAAAAATCCCTCATTAATTCTAATAATTTATCTGTAGGTTATTTTAGATGTCCTATGAACATACTGTTGTTGTTTTTCTTGCCCTTCCTTTGCACTGTCTAGGGCCTCCAGTATAACATTCAATATTATAATTTTTATGCATGTATCTTACACCTTTGTGAAACTGTAAGTTCAATGAGGGATAAATCATTGTACAACAGGGATATTCAATAAGCATTTGTTGAATGAATCATGGAATGAATGAGCTATTCCATCATCCAGATGGCTAATCATAGCAGAAACCATAAATAATCATGGAGGCAGGAGACAAGTTGACAAACTGGGTTAAAAATCAAAATCAGAACCAACAGTACAAAATATACTACTGGAGACCAACGTGTAGGTGCAGAATACATGCATTAGCCTAGTCAAGGACCTGAGCTGGGTACAGAAAGAGGGACAATAACTGATTTTCTTGAGCTTCTGGTACAATGTAAGGCACTTAAATTCATAACTCTCTTCCCTAAAGAAATTGTGGGTGGGGTTTTTTTTAGTGTGTTACTGTACTTCTACTACTTTTAGCATAAAGCCCAAATTTTGTATATTCTTGTCCCTGCCCACCTGTCCGACCTTGGTCTTAGAAGGGTCTAACCTCCCCACCTCCCACCTCATCATCCCTTGTTGTGTTCCACTCACTCTGACTTCTTCCTGGTTTCTAGAAAATTCCAAGCTTTCTCTAATAGTGCTTTGCCTATCTGTTCCTTCTACTTGGAACACTCTTCCCACCGTCCCTCCTCTGGCCATGCCTGTTAATTTGTCAGGTCTCTGCTCTATTGTCACTTTCTCAAGCAAGCCAACCCTCATTTTCACCATGTAGCTTAGCTACATGGTGTATACTCTTAAAGCCCCTGTACTTTTTCCTTAAAGGTTCTTACCAAAATAGCAATTTTATTCCTGTGTTATTATTCGACTAACGTCTCCTAATTAGATTGTAAATTCCAAAACAGGGGTGGCTGTGTCTAGCTTGCTCACTGCTGGCTTCCCCAGCACCTGGCTAGTGTCTGACACACACATGGCGGGTAAGAGTCACTTCCTGAACTAAAACCTGTAGATCTTCACTCTTGGCTTTCCTTTATGTCACTGCCCCTCTGTCCTTTCCCTTTCTCTCTGATGCCCTCAGATGCTCCCTGCTTGTTCCCACAGCCCTGTACCCTTGATTCTATGATGCTGCTTAACCATGTGGAACCCTATGCACCTCCACCTCCAGACTGGTCTTATTAAGTTCACCTTGTACTGTCAGCCCCTGCAACGTGTCAGGCACATAGTAGGCCCTGATATATATTAGCTTGACTAAATGAATAAATGCAAATGAATAATAAACAACGAATGAAGTGTGTATGTGCATACAAGTATTTGAGAGTCTCTTACCATGGGGCAGTCTCTTAAATGAAGATAACTAATTGCATGCTTTTATGATAATTTAGTAATTAATCCCCCTTTGAGATAGAACCACCTTACACCAAATTGCAGTCAGTTGTGAATATTCTTGCAGAGAGGATCTGGGTAGCGTATGCATGTGTAGATGTGTATGTAATATAATATATATTTTTTTCTTTCTAAAAAACCTTACAAAAATAAAGAAAATGTCAAAGCCTTTTAAAGGGCGCGATCACGCTGAGTAATACAACCCTTCCTTGATTTTTGCATTATTTCAGTATGAGATGTTTTTATGGCTCTTGCTAAAAATAAAAGACATTTCAGAGTTTCTCAGTAAATGAAGCACTGTAGACTTTTCAGTTTTGTTGTTTCCCCTAAAATTAATATAATTAATTAAAATCCCATGTGAGTGTGATTTACAATCTGTGAGTCAATGAGTCACAGACTCTTATGCTAATAGGGCAGTTCAGCTTTCTGAGCTCTTTACAAAAAACTGTGCCCCAGCGAAGGGCCAAGAACAGAGGTAAGGTGACAAAGAGGCCCAGAAGGAAGGACCTCTCTAACCAGGCCGTGGTATATTTATATTGTGTTTGGAATGGAGGAGTCTGAGGATGATTTGGAAAGACAACTGCTTTTATCAAGTGTAAGAAATTAGTTTAACTGAATTTAAATGCAATTACAGGAGCAGCTGGTGAAGGCTAATTTCTCTTCAGTCTGGTTTCTCAAGAACCGCACCCCCATTCTGTTCCCTGGGAAGGGATCAAGTTTCAAGCTTTACATCATTGACACCAACCCTTATAGGCTGGCCTTGGTGGAGGTCAGTGCTAGGAGCCACAGAGGACGGGGATTACCTCTCTCCTGGTGTTTACCTGAATTTGCTCCTCCCCTTTCCTTTGTAAAGAGACCCAAGGCCGGGTGCCAGCATCATGTTGACGTTACTTTGAAAGGCTCAATTTCCACTAGGGTCCATTCTGACTCGATCTCTGTCTAGATGGCACCGGGGCTGGAATCCAGGGTTTTTAGCTGCTTCTCCTGGTTCAGGATGGTGAATCCTGTGTGATGAGGAAAATCTTTGACTTCAAGAACTGAAAAGCTCTTAAATGTCATCTACCTGGGCCAGATCACTAACCTGATAGACTGAGAACAGACAGCCTGGGAGCAATATCCTGACTGCCAGTCCAGTGTTACTGGTACCAACACCCCACACTCCATAACCGCACCTCAAAAACGTCAGGCCCATTCTTTCCACACGGGAAATCCCTGCCACCCCAAATCCAGCTCAGTGCATGCACCTGATCCCCTCAAATGCACTAAAGTGAATACAGTGTTCGGGCCTGGTGTTTGGGTCAAGGCTTTGCCGTTCTTAAAATACGGAATGTATAAACCATCTCTGTCATCTACACCCCCATATAAAGGAACTTATAAAATCATTAGTAGGAGAAGGGATTGTCACAGATAAGAGAGAGGAAAGAGATAAGGACACTGGAAAAGGAGGTTTTGGGGAAGCTGATCAAAGGAAGAAAGAAGGTGGGCACTCTGGGTAAACACTGCAGAGGTCTCCTGGCCGGTCCTGGTCCTGCTCCTGGCTCAGATCAAGTGATCCTCCAAGTGGGGGGTTGGAGGGAGGCCCTGTGGAGTCTCACTTCCCCAAGGGTTACCTGGTTTCTAGCTCTGAAATGGTGGCCCCAGCGGGACCTGGGATTTCCTGTCTTGTGGGCAACCTCCCCAGGGGCCTCCACGTATGAGAAATGTCATGTGAAGCTTCTGGGTTTCTCTCAAGTGTCACCAGACAAGGGCATCAGCCACAGGCCGGGCGGGGCCGAAAGATGGCCAAGCTGCTCAGTGTGCCCATCCAGCCAGTGGCATCCCCCCACAGCCCCACGTTTCCTGGAACTTTACAGACTGCCAGATGCCTTCAAGACAAAGCTGATGGGCCCCGGGAACATGGCTCTCAACTCTCCCCAGCAACGAACGCTCTCCAAGGCCATCACCCTGCCGGCCCCCTCTTCACTCTCATCCTGCCTTATCTATGTGTTGGTCCCCCTTCCGCTTGGGTACAAGGCCACTCTCCCATTTCCCCCACCTTCCCAGGTGCTCACACATGAGCACACTGAGGCTTGTGCCTCGTGGGGCTGCAGGGACCCCCTGGGCCCTGGCCTCCTTGGAGATCTCCTCAGGCCCCTGCAGCTCACCTGTCTTCAGCATCCTCTCTCCCTCCTGTCACGCACACCTCCCTCTTGTCCCATGCAGGGCACTTCCTGAGGGCTCCTCATGTGGCCCCACGTTCAGCATTATTACTGAACAGACTAACACCTATAAAGGTTGTTCACCGCAGGCCTCAAGGCAGCATGTAGGCTCCAGATACTTGAAGATGGTTTGCCAAAAACAAAAGACTGACCCCCCCCCCCCCCACAGGAGAACCAAGGCTGTTATCAAAGCCAAAGGTCCCAATCTCATTTCCTGAAGGTTTGTTGCCTACAACCTAGGATTCAGGTCAGATGAAATTATCAATTCCTTTTATGGGGGCTCGCGTGTCTTTTTTCTCTTCCATGAATTGGCACATCACAGGGGCTTTCTCAAATTATCGGCAGGGTTTGGAGGAGAGGAGGGACCCCCAAATGCCTGTGAACATTAATAATGTTAGTAAGATCTATTGGAGGCGGGGTCCTAACACACACAGCTCAGCGCCCACGACACACAGCTCGTGCAGCTGATGGCCCCTGCCAGGCCCCGAGAGGTAACGAGGGTGATAAAGAATGGCAGTACATCTGTGACTCTTAACCCCCAAGAGGGACTCAGCTGTAAGGCAGACCTTACTGAAATCCTTACTTTCCTGGTTCAAACTAGCCAGCCCGAGGCCCCGGCTAGAAGAGCTTGCGGCTTCTGTCGGACAACCTGCTCACTCCTGTCTCCACACCAAACCTGCTCTATTCCAGGCTATTACTTTTATATGAAACTCTCTTCCCGATCAACTCATTTTGTTCAACCCCTGCTAACTGTCTTGCGACTCCCATCCCCCAGTGAGCCATACCGGGAAGACAGGGGACGGCGAGGGGGCAAGAGTGGGCATGGGGCAGGATGAAGTCACTGTCAGCAATGCACCTGCAGTCAGTGGGAGCTACGGCTGGTAAACGAACCTCAAGTTCAGCCCTCCAAGACCCACAGGCAGCCAGGCTTCTGCATAGGACTGGACGGGAGGAGCCCTTTAGGACCAGACAAGAAAGAGTTTTGTTTTCTGAGCATTGACTTGCAGCTCAGCCCATGTGAGGGCTGTTCACTGAGGTGTCTCAGCCAGGTGGTAGATTTCTCCTGTTGTCCTGTGACTTGGCTTGAAGCGGAAGATGACCCGTGTCACCTGGCACCCTGATAACAGAGAGCAAATTCCAGCAAAAAAGTGCCCATGCCTGGGCTGGCCATTCTTGTGCCCAGCAGGTAGCTCCCTGCCATCTGGCCACCTTAGAGGGACCACAGCCGCTCTGCTCCTCGCCCACCTGGCTTCAGCTGCCTCCCAACCCCAGTGACAGGGACAGCATCGCCAATACTAGGCATAAACCAGCCTCCGATTTACCTGCTTTCCTGCTCTGGGGACTGGGGACCAGGTCCCCTAATGCTGTTGTGCCCTAGTTTTCCACAGAGCTGATGCCCTGTCCCTTGAGGTAAGCAATCTTCCAACCTTATTTGCAAATACTGAAAATACAAAGCTCAAATGCATTTGTGGCACTCAGGGCACTGACATTTGTCAGGGGACTTCACCAGAGATTTCCTAAGGCATTAAGTGAAGAAAACAAGTACTGGATAGATGGGAATTTGGGGGCAAAGCGTGCACACATGTACATTGCGATGGCCACTTATTCTAATATAACATTACAAAGAGGAGGTCCAGAAAGAGATCAGGTAGAGGACCTGGGCAGCAAAGAACTGTCATAATTTCACCATGTTTCTTAAAAGGCGTTTTTAAAAGTGTGGTAGCTTGTGTTGCTCCTACAAATCTGAGCACTCTGTTCATTGGTTTATTTACACAGTGACTTATTTCGGGAGTACATTACAAGAATACACGTGATAAAATGTGAAAGTATAGATAGATACATGGGAAAACATGTATGGGAGGGAAATTTTAGAAAGGGAGGGGAAATCTGGCATGTGGATATATGGATTATAGGGTTACATGGATAATAGAGGTGAGCCACTAATCAAGAACAGATGATTGCTAAACACTGTCCTCTTCACTGGTGTTGGTGACATTAATCAACACCTGTATAAACAAGGTGCTGGCTCCACATGGGCTAAGACATGCTCCTGCCTTCCAAAAACTCAGGGTTTTGGGGCAAATAGAAGGGTCCTTGTCCAAATGGGGTCCTGTCACAGATTCGTAGAGAAAAGAAGACTGGGGTCAGCAATGTGGGTCCACATAAGTATCCCGGTGGAGACTCACCGTGTACCTGCTGATCTGTGCTGTGCTCCCCCCACTGCATGCATGTCTGGCCGGCAGCCCCACTTCTCCCTGGCTGAGGTCCATGGGGAACCTGGCCACGCCCCCATAAAGCAGCACCCCTAAACTGCTCCTAGCCAACATGCCCTCATCCGTAAAACACTCAGCATTGGTAGCACATCTCATGGTTGGAGCCACTCCTACTATAATGTCTAACAACTTGCTAAGTACCTGCATGGATTTATTTGTCTGACGAATTCACTTGAACACTGACCCAGAAGAAAGATTCAGTGTCTGATGACAGGGGGAAGAAGGCTGAAGCCAGGGCCACATCTCCACACACGTTGGTGTTGGCATTTCCGGAAGCAGTCCCCTCATTGAAGGAAACTGTGAAGACCAGGATGGGGGAGAAGGGAAGGAAGTTTTCGCAGCTCATCATTTGGCTAACACTGTTGCACTGATGGCAAGGCTCTCTGTCTAGATCAATTCTTGTGTTCATTTGAGCAAAGTAGTACTAACACATTTTTTAGTGTTTATTTATTTATTTTGAGCGAGCGAGTGAGAGAGAGAGAGAGAGAGAGTATGTGTGTGTGCACAAGCAAGGAAGGAGCAGAGAGAGAGGAAGAGAGAGAATCCCAAGGAGGCTCCATGCTGCCAGCACAGAGCCTGACGTGGAGCTTGATCTCATGAACTGTGAGATCATGACCTGAGCTGAAATCAAGAGTTGGTCCCTTAACTGACTGAGTCACCCAGGGGCCCCAATACTAGCCCGTTTTAATTCATGCATTTGATTTGTTTTTTCCAAGTAAAAAACTCTGGATTTGGTTTTGGCCCCATCTCTAGGCAATGTTGGAAAGAAACAAATTGCATTTCAGCACTAGAGTCTCACCCTGGATTCCCCTGGGTGGATCCTCACCCTGAAGCACCCAAAAGTCTCATATTGTCCACTGGATATTCAGTCTCTTCCTGTAATAGATCTTAATGGGAATCACTTATCTTTTTTCTCATCTCAAGAGTAATCCATTAAATTAGCTAAATCTGACTGCCAACCTTTATATCCAAAAATAATACAGAAAATAAAATTAAGAAAAAGTGTATACCTAAATCCAACTCTTTACTTTTCCAGCTAATATTTGATTATTTTAGACATAATTCAATGATGCTAGACTCTTTTCTAGTATTAAATTACTCATTTTTTTCTTTTTGAGTCAAAATCCTGATGGAGAACAAGTAAATCCTAGCGCCAGCTCTGTTCCCTGAATCTGTTGCTTCAAGGCCTCTTGACATCAGGCTCTCGCTGGGAGTTCTTGTCTGTCCTTGGGTCCCACTCCAGCAGACCAGGGGCCAGTGGGTACAGGAACCAGAAATAAGGCTTTCTCATCAGAAAGAGCTGAGCTGAAATTCCAGCACAACTACCCAGTTACTGTCTTGATGTTCTCATTTGCAAAAAGAGGTTCCTAACACCTACTTCACAGGCATTTTATAAGGAGTAAATAAAATAATAAATGTGAAAAGCTTAGCACGGTGTCTGGCTCACAGTAAGGATGACAGTCATCACCACCATGATGTCTTCCTTATCATCATTGTCACAGCCATCACTGATTCTTATAACCAATTCAAAAACAAGCCACACATTTCCTTTAAATCTCTGATTCCCAGTGGAGGGCTAACCTTGTGGAAAGGTGGTGGGATTTGTGTCCATCCTAGCTGTTAGCTCTGGGTCTGCCATCTCGGACAGCCTGCTTAGCCTCTCTGGGTCCTCTCACCTCGTCTGTCCAGTAGGGATGACAGTTGCTGGGAGGGTTAGCGTGGGGGTGCGTACAACGCATCCAGATCCATTAAAGATTGGCTTTCTGCACCTTCATCCTTTCTTCTTTCACTGTAACGAAATATTAGAAGAAATCGCACCCACATGAGATGCCACACATCTACCTAAAAGCCTTGTAATAGGCTAGGCAAAATATTTAGTCTCATTGCATCAGACTCTATTCTCTTTGGGCTCTGCTTACAATGGGTATTAATCACTTAATCATACAAGCTAATTCATACTCATCTGTTAATCAGTTAATGGCTCTTCCATAAGCATTTACATAATGTTTTTAGCCAGAAAAAAAAAATGCAGTCTCCCAAAGGCTCCTAGGAAGTGTCCCTGTGGTGAGCCTACCCTGCCTGGTGACAGGGACTACCTTCATGTGGAGAATCTTCCATAATGACCCAACGGCAGCCCATCCTGCCTGTGCCTGAGCCTGTGCCTGAGCCTGAGCCTGAGCCTGGGTCTGCTTGACTTGACAAGATCCCCATTTGTTTGCACGGGTCTGTTTAAATGCTTGCTCTCTGATGGCTGCGTTTCTTCACACACCCAGATGCACAGTACAATACCTGCCCCCTCTTGTTAGAGTGAATGCACAGCTGGGCTTGTGTCTTATTAGCAGGCTGGGGCTGGGTAAGGGGGCAGCAAGGAAGAAGGAAACTTATATCTTGGAAGCTGGCCACTTCTGTGTATAACAAATACAAACCGGAACCGGGTGACACTTGGGACCAACAGCATAAGCCAAGATAGAGGTCACTCTTGCAAGGAGTCTGTGTTCCTGGTAGAACGACACCAATAATCAAAGTTAAATGATTTCTTGCCATTGTACATTAAGACCAGAACATTGGAGAAAATGCCTCTTCAAGACTCAGGGTGCCCACTGTTGCACCATTTGGTTGTATAAACTTGTCACTATCTGCACCTGGGTGGCAGCTCAGCTGTGGTCAATCCCTGGGGGGGAGGATATTAACCCTTTTGGTGACAGAGGCTGGCTCGGCTTATTCTGCAACCATCTCAGTTTCTGGAAACAAGCCACATCATGTCTTGAAGGTGGAGAGTGGATGGAATCTGAAAGACGGTAGGTCACAGACTGGCAGAGAGGGCAAGGAATGATTGACAAGAACCGTGGGCGAATCTCTGAGAGGTTGTGTGACTTTGTTTGTATTGAAACATAAACTGTGGATTGGATGGGGCTCAGACATTTGGCTACAGCACACATTTGGAAAACGCATCAGCCACAGCAGCCACAGCACCTAACGCGCATCTTTGTTTGAGTAACGCTGATGGGAAGTGACTCAGCAAAGGCTGTAAAATGGGTTGCATCGGGAAAGCCAAAGACTTCTGCTCCCAGGTCAGATCCTGAAGGCTAAATCCAGAGTTTCACTTCGTTCTTGGATTTGCTGCTGCTGCCTCCACTGGGGCCACCGGATAGCCAAGGGCCTGGGATGGTCTCCAGTCGTCTCCAGCACCCTGGCTTGGGAAGCAGGCTTTGAGTCCAAGGGTGGACATCTCTGTGGCTAGCCATCTGGTTAATGCTCATCACGCCCGTGTGGGACGCCAACAGGGAACAGACTTAGGACAGAATCAATAATCTGGCAAGGAGGAGGAAGCTCACAGCTTCACAGATGAGCTCCTGAGCATTAATTAATTTATTCATTAATTCCATAATAATTCATTAAGGGCATATTATATGACAAGCAATGCGAAGACATAGAGTGATGGTGCCATTATAAAGATATATAAAGACATACCTTTATGATATATAAGATATACCTTTAAGATATATAAAGACATGTCTTTAGGAAGCCCATACTGGGGGAGCAAGACAACCACACGGACGTGTAATCAGAGTACAACCTTAATAAATAGTGTTTTTGTAATGTGTACAGAGTGTTACAGGACTATAAAGGAATATGCAAATCTGAGGAATTCCATTAAAGCTTCACAGAGGAAACGGCATGAGGGCTGCAGCTCAAAAGGTGACTGGGAATTTCTACAGACACGGGAAAAGGAGAAAGTAGCAGACTTTAAAATCAGGCAGACCAATCCGCTAGCCCTAGATCTACTTGTGCAATGCTGACTTCAGTATTTAGTCTCTGTTTCTCCATCTGCAAGATGGAAATAATAAGCCTATCTTGCAGAATTTTACAAGAATTGGAGATCATCTATATTCAAAGAAGTCGTGGCTTTAGCACGTTAACCAGCTGGGTCTTGAAAGAGGACGTTTTATATAGCTGGTATACCATGAGTAAAAACAGAGACATGTGGAAAGAAACAGTACATTTTGCCAACAGGAGGTAGTTTACCACATCGGGAAAGTAGGCCTGGGAGGAGGAAATAACAGATGACTCCAGACAGATGATTGGGGTTCATTTATGATGAGCCAGGACCGTCTTAGGTGAAGAAGAGCCAGGGTCATTCAGGCTTGCCCATGACCGCTCTGCCCAAGGGCTCACTGCGAGTCTGCTTCACGGGTGGCTTCCGCCCAGTCTTCCCGGTTCTTCCTCCTCCCCACGCCTCCTCCGTCCATCATACTCTGACAGTCCCCACGCCATGCCCACGGCTCTATCCTCAGCATCGCCATATGCCATTCCTCCTAATTCTTTAGCAGTCACGTCTATTTAGAGCTGTATTGAAAGTCACTTCTATCACTTCTCCTGCAGGTGCATTCTAAGAATACCCAACAACAAAAATCCAAACAGGCAAACAAAGAAATGACAGAGAGATCTTGATGACACCGAGAATTCATTGCCCTCTAGACTTTGCTTTCTTCAAGAGTTAGTTGGAAAGAATAATATTACCAACTTCGTGGGATTAAATGAGATAATTCCGTGAAGTGCAAAGTAAATCCTTATCAGCTTATTAGCTGCTATTATTATGATTGTTCCTAGCTTTATAAAATAGGTAACCATTCAATACATTTGAGTGCTTACTATGTGCACAGAATCAAAACATTCCTTTACAAACATATAATTCACCTACAACTTTTTGGGCAGATATATTCTGCAGAGAAGAAAGCACAAGCATATGGGAGCAGTATAATTTAATCACCACCTAATTAGCCAAACTATTTAAAATCAGCCTTACAATGATGATGAAAACATTCTCACTTCTAAATGCCGGAAGCTGCGTCTTCCTGTAATTCTCTCCCTGGAAAACTGCGCACTGAGGGGCTCTTGGCTCAGTGTGGACGCTTCCTCTCCATCACATTCAGACCTCACTGAGTCTAGTCATTTCCTTGCTTTGTCATTAGAGGAGGCCAGGATGGCCTCTGTTATCTTTCCTCATTTTCTTGATGTTTCTCCTAGTGGTGATTGTCCTTTGTGTGGGAGGATGTGCCTGAGATAGGGATAATAGGACCCAATATTTATTAAGACTTGCTACATGGTGGGGGTGCCTGGGTGGCTCAGTCGGTTGAGCGTCTGACTTTGGCTCAGGTCATGATCCCACAGTTCGTGGGTTCAAGCCCCGCATCAGGTTCTGTGCTGGCAGCTCGGGGCCTGGAGCCTGCTTCGGATTCTGTGTCTCCCTCTCTCTCTCTGCCCCTCCCCTGCTCATGCTCTCTCTCTCTCTCAAAATTAAATAAACATTAAAAAATTAAAAAAAAAAAAAGACTTACTACACGGCAGAGGCCATTTAAGCATTTCACTTTTGTTTTTCTTGAGAGAAAGTGAGCGACATGAGACAGAAGGAGAGAGAGACAGAGACAGAGAGACAGAGAGAGAGAGAGAAAGAGAGAATCTTAAGCAGGCTCCATGCTCAGCGTGGAGCCCAATGAGGGGCTCAATTTCACGACCATGAGATCATGACCTGAGCCGAAATCAAGAGTCAGAAGCTTAACGGATAAGCCACTCAGGTGCCCCCAAACATTTCACACTAACCCTCCCATAGCCCTATGAGATTAACACCATGAGTATCTCCATTTTCTAGAAGAAGCCAAGGCTCCAAAGGGTTAAATAACCTGCCCAAAGTCTCTCAGCTGGTAGGTAGTGCAGCCAATATCCACCCCCAGGCAGTCTGCTTCCAGCTTCCCTAAGAGTCAGATAATCCAAAAGCAGTAGAAACCTTTGGGCTAAGAAGAGGCAGTTGCTGGGGCGCCTGGGTGGCGCAGTCGGTTAAGCGTCCGACTTCAGCCAGGTCACGATCTCGCGGTCCATGAGTTCGAGCCCCGCGTCGGGCTCTGGGCTGATGGCTCGGAGCCTGGAGCCTGTTTCCGATTCTGTGTCTCCCTCTCTCTCTGCCCCTCCCCCGTTCATGCTCTGTCTCTCTCTGTCCCAAAAATAAATAAACGTTGAAACGTTGAGAAGAGGCCGTCACTGTGAGCGAACCCAATTCTTAACTCGTTTCCCAATTAACCCAAAGCTTCTCTTACAGAGTTTAGAGGAAACCCTGTTTTCAGACTGTCCAGTGATGAAATTATGAACACCCAAGCCAGGTAAATAAATGTCCAATGGAAGGTTTCTCTGAACAGCTAATTATAAAAAAAAAAAATCTGTTATGACAGAAAAGCCCAGAGAAACTTAGAACAGAGTAAGAGGCCACAGTGTTCAAAGAATCAATCAAAAAGGAAAAACACTGTAAATACGGAGAAAGCCCACGAACCGAGACCAAAGTACAAGACTCTCAGCAGGAATGTTCTACAGAGGATTAAAGTGTTTGACAGACAACTGGGCTAGATGATTTTAAAAGATCTTTCTAAACCCAGAGATGCCATTATTCAATCAGGAATGTAATTTTTTTTAAGTTCCCAGTGTTCATGTTTTTAATCTCGTGGACTAATTCATAGCAGGTCAGCATAAGTTTGGCGCTGCCATTGCCTCCAAACATTTCCACATCCAAATTCCACTGTGCACACCAAACCCCACGTGTTGGCTCCACTGACCCCTTCTTTCCATGCACCTTATCTCGGTTAATGGTCTCACCATTGCCAGTCACCCCGACCTGGTGCTCAGAGTCTTCCTTGACTCCTCCTATACCCTCGGGCTCCACATCCAACTGGTCAACAAGCACGATCAGCATCTAAAGTGTCTTCCCTAGCTGTCCTCTCCTACCCCACCATGGCCCTGTTGGTGCAAGTAAGTCATACTACAGTACCTACTGTGGACTAAAGACACAAAGATGAAAGTCATGGTCCTTCCCCTCAAGGAGCTCACAGCCTGGTAAAGGAGACAGGCTTATACACAGAACTCAAGACCCAGGCAAGAGGCATACAGGAGGTACAGTAAATGATACAACAGATCAATATGTATCAAGCATCTTGTTACCTCACCTGGTCACAAAAGGCTCCTAGTCCACCTGCCTTGTCTCCTCATCCTGTCCATTACTCACACTGCCAGCCTAACAATCCCCTCTTTTGGTGTCACTTGATGCTCAGAAGCATAAGGGCACCTGGGTGGCTCAGTCGGTTGAGCATCCAACTCTTGATTTTGGCTCAGGTCATGATCTCACAGTTTTGTGAGTTCGAGCCCCCCATCAGGCTTTGCACACTGACCTCAAGTAGGCTGCTTGAGATTCTCTCTCTCCCTCTCTTTTTGCCCCTCCCCCACTAGTGCTCTCTCTGTCTCTCTCAAAATAAACAAATAAACTTAAAAAAGAAGAAGAAGAAGAAGTGTTGGATGGCTGCACTTGTCCAGGTATGTGAAGGGCAGATTTCTGTGCCTTATGCTGAATATAACCTACTGCAGAAGTGACGGGTGCTTATGAGCTTGTCCAGAGACGTTTCCGGAGTAAGATGAGCCCCCGGGAAAACAGAGGCATTATATGATTGGCAAGAGGACTAATACCAGACTCAAAAAGAATATTCACAGAGGTGGGAGGAAACCAGGAAAGAGAAAGACAGGGAAGATAGAGTGACAAGAAGTTGAAAACAGTCAGTGGCAACGAATGTTGCTGAAATTTAAGCCAGAAGAGAACTAAAAGCCAGCTACTGGTTGCCTACTGGTTTTGCAAAAGCTACACCTTTCCATTGATTGGATCAGATATCAGGCTTCATGGGTTTGTGATTTGATTATGAGGTACAGGAGGGCTGCAAGGATCCCTGTATCCCCTTTTAACATGACTGGGAGTGAAAAAGATGTATTTAAAGCATTCCATCCTATATTCAATTTATTTAAGCCCAACATGTTGGTTTTTCCTTTTTCTTTTTTTTTTCTTTTTTTGAGAGAGAGGGAGAGTGAGGGGGATGGGGCAGAGAGAATGGGAGAGAGAGAATACCAGGCAGGCTCCACGCTTAGCATGCAGAGCCCAACATGGAGCTCAAGCCCACAACCATGGCATCATGACCTGAGCCATATCAAGAGGGAGACGCTTAATGGACTAAGCCACCCAGGCGCCCCCAACGACTTGGTTTTAACTGCTGAGAGCAGAGACCATCTCGTTTCTCTTCATATCCTTATCCCATGGTAACCAGCAGTGTTTGATGCATGTTTGTTTGTTTGTTTGTTTGTTTAGGACAATGGTAATTTTCCTGTAATTTGTTCTTAACTAAAATATTTGAGGGTGCGTGGAAAGGGTTGCTTCCACCAATGGTTTCAAACATCGTTCATTGGGTTTTTTGTTCTATTGATTTGCATTCTCTCTAGAGAGGCAACTAGCTGAGTAGGCAAAAATAAACTTTCAGGGGCGCCTGGGTGGCGCAGTTGGTTAAGCGTCCGACTTCAACCAGGTCACGATCTCACAGTCCGTGAGTTCGAGCCCCACGTCGGGCTCT